CTTGTGTCCTGGAATATCCCCCAGCTCCATTGCCCTTCTCTGGACACGCTCCAGCCCCTCCATGTCCGTCCTGCAGGGAGTGGCCCAGAGCTGCCCCCAGAGCTGGGGCTGCAGCCTCCCCAGTGCCAGCACAGGGCACCAGTCCTGCCCTGCTCCTGCTGGACACACTGTTCTGATGCAGGACAGGATGCTGGTGCCCTTCTGGCCACCTGGGCACACACTGGCTGAGGTTTATCCAAGTTGTCATCCAGCCCCCCCAGCTCCTTTTCCTCTGGGTACTCTCCAGCCACTCCTCCCCAAGCCTGAAGAGTTGCCTGGGGTTGTTGTGACCCACGTGCAGGACCCAGCACTCGGCCTTGTTGGACCCAACATAAGCATGAAAGCAAAATGCAATCCTGAAATGTGCTGTAAAAAACTATTAGGACTATCACATGTTACAGGAGAAAAGTACTCACCCAGTTAACATCAAACAGAGGCTGCATCCACTGGAAGCAATATGCACTGATGCTCACTGAAGTTCCAACTTAACCAATGGCACCTCCTTCTACAGTGTCCATTGCAATGCTGTTCTACAACCATTTTCCTTCTCCCTTACCTAGCTAGGCACACTCTGCCTCACCCAGGACAGATACAACCGACTTACTGATGCCAAAACCACATCACTGGCCTTCCTGCCACCATGTGTTGGGCCTGGTGACCGCGCAGGGAAGAAGCTGCTACTTCTCAGAACATCCACTTTAACCACCCTGCACCCAGATCAGCCAAAGCCCCTATTCCCTCCCCTCCAGCTCACAAAGCAGAGGTAAAGTCACCCGAGCAGGTCTGTGGGGCACAGAGTGCAAGGTAAGGGTGGGAGGGAGAGGATGAAAAGACTTCTGAGCTTCTGCTGATGCAGAGCACACCGTGTTTATTTAACCAGGCGCAACGACAGTGAAAATAAATCATCAAACTAACTCCAGGGGTTCGTAGCACTGAAGGGAACAGACACTGCCTGCTGTACTACCTGCTTCAGAGAGGCCAGCAGCCCAGCTTCTCACAGAGCACTGCAGCACCGGGCACTCTGAGGGGCTACAGGAGCCAGACGCCTTGTGCCAGCCTGCACGGCTCTGACACCCGTGGCTCCCCCTCGCCCACGGCACAGCCAACACACAACCAACCCAGCCATCCCACCCAGGCCCTGGCACCGTCCGACAGACGGCGGCACCGGAGGCGGCTCCTCCTCCTCCTCTGCTGGGAGGGAAAAGGGCAGGAAGGGGCACAGACTCCCCCCGCTCGCATTCCCAAGTCCCTCAGCGCTTTATCTCTCCCTTCTCCAGACCTGCAAGGACCCTCAGAGCACCCCGGGAGAACCGACACGGGTGGCTGCGGGGCTGGGAGGGCTGGGA